AAGCGTGGAAGGCGTTTTCTATCTTTGCTGATAGTTTTGATTGCGCTGCTGCTTTCCATATCCTTGGATGGTCTGAAAATGAACATTCTATGTTCTTGAATACGATTGATTCTTTAGAGCAGTCAAATGTGCTTAAGGTGGATTCTTCACAAAGCAGATTGCAACTCTATCCAGTAGCAAAATGCTTTATAGTGGAGCATTTGTTTAAAATGAGTGGTTATTATCGACAGAAATTTGAAATATTCAAATATCGCTACTTGGGATATTATTCTCAGTGGATTCAGCAACATGTGAATGATGTAATGTTTCTTCAATTGGGTAGTTGTAAACAGCAAGCTTTAAGGGTGTATCATTTGGAAAAAGCAAATATAGAGCAAGCATTTCAACTTGCAAAGGAATTGGGTTGGAGAACATATCGCTGGTTTGTTGTTGCCACTGGATGTTTACTTAGATATGTTTGGGATATTTCCACTAGGAAGGAACAATATTGCAGTTTATTAGAAAAAGAAGATGCACAAAGCCATGTCAAGCCATTATCGGATAGTCCCGTTGGAATAGAACAACTCTATTTGGAAGACGAGAATTTGGACACTTTTTTGGATAATGGCAATTTGAATATGTCGTTGGGTTGTCCTTCCTATATGGAAGAGAGTGTTATTCTTCGTATGATTGGAGAAGTCTATTTTGAAAACAAAGACTTGAAGAATGCACATTCATATCTGAGTCATTGCTTGCAGCACATCAATCAACAGGTTTCTTCTTCTCTAAAGCAATGTACGAATAATGAAGTGATTTGTTTCTATTTGTTAGCTTGCATAGAGAAAGAAAGGGGACAGTGGGATACTGCATTATCATTTGCAGAGAAAGCAAAGGATGGATGTATTCGCATGAAAATGGAACTCACAGTAGTTTGGATTCAAATCCATCTCGTTATGACTAGTATTTATATAAAACTAGGTCGTTTGGAAGAAGCTCATGGAACAATAATGAACGTATGTGAATGGGCGCAATCAACATGCTTTACGTATGACGTTTCGTTGCTTTTGGAATTGGATGCTGTATTAGGAACTATAATGCAATTGAAAGGAAATAGAACATGTGCATTGCATTGCTTTGAAAGCATAAGAAAGCACCCGAAAGTTTTTTCTGAATGTGATTCGACCAAAGTCTGTTGTTGTGATTATCTTTTGGATTATAGTGTTTGGTCATGTTTAGAGAGTGTTCCATTGAATTTGGAGTGTACTTCCCATCCATGGATAGCCAAACAAGATGCTGTGGATTCTTGTTGTTATTTTTTTGATAATGAAGCTAGTTTGGCAGCTATACAAGAAGAATATGAATGGGAGAAAAGTTTCAAGTAGAGCATATGCAATTATTGATTGAGCTTATATATATATATATTTTGTTGGTGATGGTTGGATAATTTTGATTTGCATGATTTCGAATTTGTTTTTCCTCGCTGCAGAGCAATAATAACAGAGTGTAATAGGATTTCATCACGTTATTTTCAGTTTGTCTCTTGCGAGTGAAATGAAGGTGTTTTCTCTTCCGTGCAGTTTTACAGAATGATAAATGAAAAATTTGTTGAAAAGCAAGCACTCTTACTTTTCTATGTGAAAAGGGAGAGGGAATGATCCCAAATGGTATATATTTTCCTTCTTTCTTCTCTTGTGTGATTGTATGTTCAAGTTTTCACTTGGATAGCGAACTATTTCTTTGTACCAAAAACACGTATGGGGGAACGAACACTTGTAGCAAAAAAGGACATTCTTATTCCATATCACTTGAATTCACTGTGATAAATATAATAGTGTTTTCCTATGTATCTTGTTGTTGTTGTTCTTCAAAAGTACTCTTCCTATTATAGTTGTTATAGGTCGCCACTATTTACTGTTCACCCACTCCTCGGTGCACACGTTTCAACTCCTCCAACTGCAACGACTCTATAACGTGTTTGACTTGCACAATTTCTTCTTGCAAATACACTGTGTGCACTTGTACTTGTATTATGCAGCGGTTCAATTCGTCCAAATGTTCCAATACATCTTTTACTAACAGACTAGTAAGATGGCATCGATGACAAGTATTTGGATGGTTATTTGATAAACAGCTGAAAGCATCTGTTGGTGTATTACTCCTTTCCATGGCACGCAATCTTATTCCAATCATAAACACTCACATATCCAAGAGATATGTATCATTCGCCTTTATTTTGATGAATGAGAAGTGAATTGAATTGTCCAATGGAATACAAGAGAAACTTTCTTTATCGATAGTCCTTTGTTTATGCTATGTTTTGCTACTTGGTTTATATTCCACGCCGTGGACTAGTCGAACAAAGGATGCAAAGGAATGACTGGCCTTGTCATCTTCTTCAAAAGGATATTTTCCTCCTATTCTATAAGCAGCAGCAAGACCTGATACAACTGCTATTTCATGAATATTGAACAAGCAATAACCCCCCGCAAACCAAGTATGTTGAAAACCTTGCAACCATCTCCAAAATAGAACAGTAAAGGCAAAATGTTTCCAAGTATGGGCATTGTGTTTGGTCACTCGAGTGTAAAGAATCTTGTCGCTCTGCACACTATCTGCTGGAAAAATGGTTTGAAATATGGGTCGATTATGGAGTGGTTTCAATTGTGGTTGATAATGGTTAAGATGAAAACTCATTTCCACTTTTTGAGGATCATTTGGTAAAACTCGGACAAAATATTGTTGTTCTCTATCTGCTCGAGTATCATAATGTTTCGCAATATAGTCAAAATCTTCATGTGTTATCACTGTATCGTAATAATAATCGACATTTCCTAATGCAAAACGTTCCAACCAACGAGGTTTGGTTAACAAAGATAATGCAATTTGTGCATCGCAACAGAGAATGATTTCGTCAAAAAATACTTCGACATTCTTATCATCCGTAACCCAAACTCCCTTGTCGCTGCGACTTAGTTTCTTAGCTACTCGGCCACAACATATTTCCACTCCTCTTTCCTTCAGTTTCTTCGATGCACTATCATAGACTGAAGAAAGCTTGGGAAATGCAAACACTTCTGGTTGTTGGGACAAAAAACGTTGTGGATCATAATCAAAAAGTTTTCCATCCTCATCAAGAAACACTCTGGCAATGACTGCAGTTGACACACGAGGAGTCTGAATCCCAGTACCGAAGAAAAGTGAACAAAGAGGATATAACAAGTAGTTGCGAAAGTCTGCACTGAAACCGAACACTTTCAATAACAAATCGATAGGAATAAATACACACAAAAACTCCAACCACTTCACCCAAGATAAGAGGTAACCAAATCTTTTAATTTCTTTTTCTAACTTTCTTACGATAGGAGAAGGTTCCTTATCGATGTTACTCCATTGTCTTTCTCCGGTACCAAAAGAAATTCGCATAGACGTGGAACTGATATCCCAACCCAATTCTTTTAATAGCAAAATAGTATTGCGGTAAGTTGGAGTACCTCCTTGGACTTGGTCATTCACATAAACTCCTGAATCCAATTCAAGAGTAGTAGCTACACCTCCTATACGAGACGCCTTTTCCCATATTTCCACCTGAAAAGGTCCTCGTGATAAAGACCAAGCTGCAGCAACTCCTGACGCACCACCTCCCACAATACAAACACGCTTCTTTTTCTCCATCACTCTATACAAGCTATTCTTTCACTAGTCAACAACTTCCATTTCAATATGTGATATGCACATCACAAATTTCCATTTACTCGGATGGAATGAGTGCTCTCTCAATCCGTTCTTTCATTATTCATGTGTGTGATTGTTATTCATTCTCTCATTCAATCTAGAAACAGTATTTATTTCCAACTAGACCATTTATCATCTCTTTTCAAACTATTGTGTTCAGCTTGCCTATAAAAGATAGATTGACAGCGCAAAATGATATAATTACTATTGTTGTCTTGTAAGGGTCACTATCATATTATGAAAGAACAGACATTTCTCTCAACACATAGCAGAATGAACTTGGGTCATCTTTATAATATCAAAATTGATAAAGAATGGATAGATCAGGGAAATAACACTACTGAAAAGAAAATAAGGTAACAAAACCAATAATTGGGTGCAAACTCGGCAACAGATTGTTTTGTTAATCAGATACGGAAATTCGTTCTCTGCAGTTTCCTTTCTCGAGAAAAGAAAATAAAAGTCTTGGTCCATCATCAAATGAAATAATGTCAAAACATTGAAGACATATTCCACGTCATCAAAGTTTCTCTATAAACTAGCCTTCTAAACGAAATGTTGGAGAATGCTTGTCTCGCCAACTCTCATACTGACTAGACTGCTCTATTTCTTAGAAATTAATCGTCACTATGCTAAACCACTAATAAAGAACCAGAGTCCCATTTTAACCAAGAACCAAAAAATGACGTGCATTGTACCCAGCATCACTTTAGGCATACCATCAGAATAGATAGTTACTTCTTTTCTCTGTTACTCAACCGTTCCTCAAATACTTTACTCCCTTTACAACTAAGCTCAGCGACGGACAGATATTATGTATCTCTCGATGAGGAGTACAGTATCGAATGCCAACATACGATGAAATCGTCAATCGAAAAACTATATAAACCCCTCACTTCCTACACTTGATCTGTCCAAATAGTACTAAGAGTATTCTGGTTCACAACACATTTCTATTCTTGTTTGCTATGAGTGGACTTGAGTTCCAGTGTTATGATCCGACGACTCATGTCTTATAGATATCATTCAATACAGAATCTTGTCAATGGGTTCTCCCTCTTCTTCTGCTCAACATTGGTTTCAACTCTTCAAATTGTCTCCCTTTTTGTCTTTGACAGAGTTTTCCGATGTCATAGCATTTTCTTTCTCAAAAAAAAAAAAGTTGGGTGCGTTTACAAGGATATTGAAAGTTATTCTTCCGAGTAAATGTTGGATACGACTCCCGAGGCGATGAGATGTCTTTCCTGTCGTATACAGATACGAGATAACTTCTTATTCNTCGCAGAAGGAGTACAGAATATGGCAAGTTCTGTTCGAATACGAACGGTAGCTCTATCTCCTTTCTTTNAGAATCGAGGATTAGGAACCTCAACCATATTCTTACTCNCTTCATCTTTTCTACTAACAGAAATGAATTCCATCNGAACACCAACACCTTGAAAGCAGTGAACGTGTAACATAACAGGCGTTCCTTTTNAAATGGGTTTCTTTCCCGAACCAAATACAACCAACTGCACCACAATATGTCGACCCTGTGTAAGTGGTGCATTGGGGTCCGCAAGCACGTGACCCACTCGAAGAGATGTACCACTGCTACTTCCAATCNATACCAAAGCAGACCAGTCTCCAACAACTGCTTGAGATACTTGGCGTTCTCCCATCNCAATAGAACGAACTGTCCAACTTTGTTGCATTTGGGATGGATGGATCCTAACAATATCGCCCACCTTAACTTTACCGCTCNTTNTACAACCCGAGATTCGCAAGGTTTCCGAATCTTTCTTTTCTTCTNCAACATCCATACATGGCATACGAAAATGTTTATCCTG